GGCCTTAACCAAAAGACCTTGCCACTTTCCTGGAGGAAAGAGAAGCCGTTTCCAATTCTAGAAAATAAATAAAATAATATATAAAAATATAAATAATATAATCAAATAAATATATTCTTTATAAATCTGCAATTAAGGCATTATTTAGCTGGAATATATTTTTGGTTTGAGTCAAAATATAGTAAGAAAAATAATACAAATTTGGAATATTTTCTGCCAGATTCCCCACAATAAGTAGAATTAGACTTAGATTTAGACTCAACTCAACTAGAGGCCTACAAACTTTATACTGAAGAAACAAGAACTCTTCAATCAAATAGCTAAATTTAAATGATTGCAAAGGATCAAGAACTATAATTTACTTATACAGTATACCACAATGGATCTCAAGAGTAAGAAGTATATATTATTATTATACTATTATTATTTTAATGGAGGTATTGCACCGCGACCTACTCGGATCAATTGTGCCCCCTTCTGAGCCTCCCCATTTCCCACACAAATGTGAGAATCTTTGTTGGATTGAGGTCTTCTATATCTCTGAAATTCATAGCATGCATCCCTAGGATATAGTATAGTATAGTAGGATAAGGATTCTACTATATACTATATAAATATATACTATATACTTAGTTGAGTTAGCTGACTTCTTAGTCTGCAGTGTCCTGTCAGTGGACCGGCAAGTATCCGCAGGCTGTTCCTTTCCATGGTTATAACTTGCCTAAAGAAATATATAATAAAAATGACTGCATTTGTGCAATAAATATTTTTATTAGTTTATCGCAAATAAAATCGATTTTAAGCCATTTTCTAAGCCATTTTATTGTGGCTGAAAGAACACAGAAATGCATTTTTCAACTTTTAGACACGTTTTAAACATGTGTTTTTCCAGGTATTTGCAGTTGTCTGCAATAAAGTTTTAATTTTCATGTTGCAAACTGAAGTGGTGGCAGTTAGCAGTCAGGAGCAGGCGGCAGGCGGCAGGCAGCAGGCGGCAGGCGGCAGGAGGCAGGGAGTCGAGCGTCGGGAATTGTGTGTTTTTTTTTGGCTATTTCAATCAGCGCCTTTGTTGTTAACTGTGGCAACATGTGGCACAGTCTGTGTTGTCTGGAGTATGAGCTTCCGCAGCAGCGGCTGCCTTTCGATCAAATGTCAGTTGTTGCAGTTGCAGTTGCTGTTCTTGTTGTTGTTGTTGCCGCACCTTGGAATTGTTGTTTGTCGTTGTCATTGTTTGGCTGGGAGCTGAAAGCTGGCCAGTTGAGGGCTGCTGCTGCTGCTGCTGCTGCTGGAAAAGCTGTCATTAGACAAACATGCGGCATGCGGCATGCTGCATGTTGCAGTTGCAGTTTGCAGCCGCTTGGCCCACAAAAGAAGGTGACGCAGCTGAAATCAATGCGCGACGGACAGTTGCCATATTGTAAAGATATATTTGTTTTGTTGCCGTTGCCGTTGCAGTTGCAGTTGCCGTTGCAGCTGACGGACAGCTGCTTGCTGCTTGCTGCCTGCCTGCCTGACTGCTTGCTTGCTTGCTGTTAGCCAAAAACGCTTCCGCCGTGGCTGCGGCACCGCTCGAGGTGCTTCCGATTCGCATAGAGCATATGTTTATGTATGTGCAACATGTGCAACATGTGCACTTGCACCTGATCAAACCAATAACAACAGCAACAGCAACAACAACAAATCAAAGCAACATTTCATGTGGTTTCACCTGGTCAATAACAGCCCCCCTCCACCCACCACACACTCACTCCCCTTGCAGCTCATCAAACCCCCTTTTTAGCTACGCTTCGGTTTCGATTTCCTAATTCACCATCAGAGACAAACAACAACAACAACAACAACAACGGCAAACGGAGCCAAGAAAGTCAAGACACAAAAACTCAACTCGCTGCGGCTGCTTCAATTACACAAAGTCATGCAGAGTTGCCAGCTGTAACTCGGCTGCCCGCTGCCCGCTCCCCGCAAAAAACAACCATGCACAGCCCCTCCCTCTACACTCTGGCAACCCACGAAAGTTGCCGAGCCGTGTCCGCGTTGCTGTTGTTGTTGCTATTATTGTTGTTGCTGTTGTTAATATTGCTGGCGTTGGTGTCTGACTTTGTTTTAGTTTTTTGCTGCCGCTGCTGCTTAGCGAAACAGGTGCGTTTGCGTTTTGCGTTTGCAGGTGTTTCCCAAAAGCAACCACCACAAGCAGCCAGCAGCAGCCAGCAAGCAGCAGTCGCGACTTCAACTTGGACTCAACTCAGTCAATTCACCAATTCCCCCACACACCTTTTCCCCGCTTCACTCTTCCCCCTTCCCACTTCCCACTTCCCCTGCCGTTTGCTGTTTGTCTCGCGCTGTTTAGTAGTTACGCTTTACCGCTAGTTGCACAAATTGCCGCCACCTTCGCTGTGCTCTAAGCATTCGACCCGCCCCGCCTCCCCTCCTCCGCTTATCCCCACAAACTGGCGCCACAGTTGCTCATGCGCTTTGTATTTCGTGTGAAAATCGCAATTAAATGCAATTTTTATGCGCACCTACAAAGTCGACGTCGTCGTTCGGCTCAGCTTTCATTTTAAAGCTCAGCTTCGTCTTCGTCTTGGTCTTCGGCTACGTCGTCGCCGTCGTCGGCTTAGTCGACTGCTGCCGTTTTGGTCTTCGGCTTGATCGTTTTTGGTCGCTCGGCTGCGCTCAGCTGTCAGCTGCGTTGTTGAAAATGTCAGCTTGACAATTATTATGTCAAAAATGTTTTTCGCTCTTTTGCGCCGGCTGCGCAGTCGCAGCTGTTTGCACCGTTACACGAGTTTTTATGGTAATTCAAGTTTCACTGATTTCACGTTGCCGAGTCGCACCCAAAAAAAAAACAAAAAAAAAACAAAACAAAAACTCAAAATGGGTGAAAATCGAGCTAAGCGCGTTAATTGCCAGAGAGCCGTTTATTGAAAGCCCAACAAATCCAGACAATTGCATTGGTGCTGCTGCCATTGGAAGCTGCATGCAGCTGACTGCAGCAGAATGCACAAAACAATTAGCGCATTCCACTGTGAGAACGCACCACAAAGTGCGAAGGGGGCGGTGAGGGGGAAACAACAGTAACAACAATGCATGTGAAACAATCAGTTTATGTTTTTTTGTGTTGCTTAAGTACCCTGTAAATGCAAGATTTTAAGGGGTGATTGAGATAAACAGACTAATGCTATTCCTTGCAAATATAAATAAATAAAATATATATGATAAAATAATAATTATAAATATGTATATTATAAATGTACAAATAATGAACAGTTATAACTCTGTAAAAATAAACCGATTTTCATCGATATTCATTTGTAAATATGTCAATTTCCCCACACGTCCAAATAATGCCTTTTGATCATCAAACCCCACCACAATATATTGCGTGGTAGCTGCAAGCCGCGCAATTACATGTTGAAAATTATTTGATTTCGTTAAGCGGGCAGCCAAATTGACATTTGAATGGGGCACCGACTGGCACCGACCAGCTCCACTCTCAGCCTCAGTCGCAGCCTCCGCCTCAGTCGCAGCCTCCGTCGCTGTCGCAGTCTGAGTTTCTCAGCCTCCGTACCGGGCGCAGTCGCAGCCCCCAAGGCAATTGGTCAAATGCATTGTAAGCGGCAATCATTAACGCTAATAGACGACAGCGACGGCGACAGCGACGGCGACGTCGACTGCCGCAGAAAAAGCAAACGGCAAACGGCAGACGCAGCAGCAACTGCGACGCAGCTGCAGCCTCAGCTGTGGGTTAAACCCAAAAAAGAAAATTGAAATCCCTTTTTGGCCCGCCAACTGTCAACCGAAAGTCTATAAAAATTTCTCAAGAGAATTTTGCACACGTGCAAGTTGCAGCAGAGGCTGAGAGGCTGCTACCTGCGTAGGAAAACCCTTAATGGGCAGCAACAACAACAACAACAACAACAACAAGAAGAAGCAGAAGGAGAAAGAGAGCGAAGAGAGGCAGACAATGGAAATGCGTGAGAAAACTCGTTATGACCTGCACGGGAAGGCATTATAATTCCCCTAGTTGTTGTTGCTGTTGTTGTTGTTGTTTGCCGCAATTCGTTGCACTTGTTTACATGGGAAATGATTTTTCACATTGTTAACGCTCAGTTTTCCTCATAATTTTCCATCAGCTACTGCTCAGGTAGCATTAATCACGGGCTATCTCAAGATTTCTGGAAATTCCACAGAAACCACAAGTAGCAAAAAAAAAACCCAAAGAAAATCAAAACAGTTTTTTTTTTTGTTTTTGTCATATTTGAATTGTATTTTATGTAATTTATTTTGTAATATCTATAATTTAATTTGTTTGTTTTGTTTTTTTTTTTGTTGTTTTTTGTATTTTCTTTTTTTGTTTTTGTTGTTTTTCTTGCATTCTTTTCATCATTTTATGTTACATCATGAATTAGGGGAAGAGGGAGATATACCCGAATAAACAAATGATAATTACGATTTTTCTTCATTTTCTTCTTTTCCAAATCATTAAAATATATAAAACGCATAATTATGCTAAAAAAAACACTTTGTACAAAGTATGCTACAGATCACAGAACATATACATATATATTGATATATATATATATATTTATATATTTATTAATATTATGTATTATTTAATATATTATATATTCAAGGTTAAAAGAGGAAAACTCGATGGGGGAAGGAAAAACTACGCTCAAAACTAAATGATAAAACAAATTGTTCCTTGAGGTTTGCATGTGTGTGTGTGTGAAAATTAAGCATAAATATATATAAATAAATGAATTTGTTGTTCAAATGTTTATGTGAGTTGTTTGTTTGTTTGTTGTTGTTGTTATTGTTGCTGTTTGCTGGCTGAGGCTAAACAATAATAGGAAAATTTTCTAGCGACTTTCGTTTAAAATTAATAGGAAAAATGTGCGTATTGTAATTGAAAAATAATGAGAATGAAAATTTGTTAGCATTTTTGTTGTTGTTGTTGTTTTCATGCGTTTTTATTTCAGTTTTTGTGTGTGTTTTTCTTTTTCTTTTGTTTTGTTTTCTTTTATTGCTGCTCTCTGTTCTTTTTTGCTTTGCATTCTTATCATTTTCGTAAAATTATTAACATGTTTGTGTTTTTTTTTTTGTTTTGTATTCTTCAATTAAACCAAAAACTAAACATATAAAAAACAAAAATTCATTTTTTCATTTCATTTCATCAATGCGATTAAAGGAAAAATTAAATTGTTTAAAGCTTTGCCAAGTTTTTTCATCATCATCATCTTCTTCTTCATCATCATCATCTACTTCTTCGTCGTAGTTAATCTGCTTGCTAATAGTTAAATGTTAAACGTTAAATGTTAATAATAATGTAGTATTAGTGCTTACAATGGTTTTTACTTGCTTTCATTTAATGCTATTCTTAGTTAGGTTTTATTTTGCTTTTTTTGCTGCTTTTATTTATGAACTAAAAAACTCTTTCAATGTGTTGGTGTGAAATGCTTTTACATCCATGCGCCCACATGTGGGCGTGGCTGCAGTGTCTATGTGTGTGTGTGTTTTAAATGAATTGCTGTTGCGGTTGTTGGTGTTGTTGTTGTTGCTGTGGAGATCTTCACACGAGTTGAGTTGAGTTTTGTGTGGAGTTGAGTTGAGTTGAGTTTGAGAGTGAAGTTGACTGTACTACACTGCTGCTGCTACTAACTAACATTAGTTAATATGTTTTATATATATATGTATATATTTATATGTATTTAATGTAGCTTTAAATGTTTAGTTTTAGTTGTAGTTGCCGCCGCTGATGCTGCTGCTTCTTCTTCTTCTTCCAGCTGCTCATTTTACGATTGCCTGCTGTCCTTTTCGCCGCTATTTTGCTGCAATGAGAGAAAGTGAAAAAAGCACACAATTAGTACAAATTGCATTAAGCTTAGCTTAGTAGTATAAGAGTGTCTGTGTATAAGAGTATGCATGTATGCTTGCGTGTGTGTGTCTGTGTTTGCCTGACTTGCACAACAATTGACGAATTATCAATTAATTTGCTGTTGTTTTCGCTTTTCGCTTGCTCCTCTTTACTTCTTTACTTGTCGTCGTCTTTTGTCGTCTGTCGTCTCATTTGTTTACGAGTGTATTTTATTTTATTTTTATTGCCTTGCAAATGCCAGAAAGAGAAAGAGACAGAGCCGATTGCGAACTAGGACGGGTAGGAAGAAAGGGCAGTCAAAGAAGAGGCGCCAGCGCAGAAAACTAAGAAAATCAAATGAGCTATAGCTGTTGTTGTTATTGTTGTTTTTACTGTCGCTGCCTGCCTGCCTGCCTGTTATGTTGAGTGACCGCAGAGCATTGGCGAGTGAGTGTTGGAGGGAGTGAGAGGGGTACAATATGTAGAAAGCGACCGACTGGCGACTGGCGCACAGCTGCGCGGCGCGAAAAAGTACAAAAAAAGAACAGAGCAAACAGCAACAACAAAAACAACAACAACAACGTAACGAGAACATTTTGAACACGTGCATTTCTTCTTACGATTTCTACATGTACATATGGGTATGTGTTTGTGTTTGTGTTTGCGCAGTTGTGTGAATGTTTCTGTGCCTGAACGAAAGAATTTGTGATTTTTTTTCTTCTTGCGGCCACGGTGACACATACCACATACGACAGGGGAGGGGGGAGGGACGGGCAACGCTTTGGATTGGAGAGATGTGGGCGCTGTCTCAATCTCAGTGCAGATGTTTGTTTTTGTCTTGCTTGCCTTTTGAATGACCAACTAATTGTGGGGGTTTTTAAATAACATTTAAATACACATACTTTTTCTCACGAACAAAACGAAAGAAAAAAATAAATGCAAAGCAACATTAATCAACATCTGTACAAAACAAAATAACAAAAAACTATAATTACAGAGTTGCTGACCACCAAAGAAGCTAGCGAGAGAGTAGAAAAAAATTTGTATTGAAATTGTGAAGAGCTGTGTGTAACTACAGTAATATTTATAACCTGTTCCGGGCCAAGTGTATTGATCAATTTTATTTATTTACTTTTTTTTATTTCGTCAACATCAATTTATAATCATAGCGAAAAGCCAAAAACTGCGCTAATGAAGTAAGCAACAAAATAAACAACGACAGCAGCAACAGCAACAAAATAACAGCAAAAATAACTGAAACGGAGGCTGACGGATGATTCTCCAATTTCAAATGCCGAAGTCGAGCTTAAAGCGAATGTGCGTGTGTCTGTGTATGTGTGTGTCGAGTTTCTGTATATGTGTAGAGTCTACACACACACACACACACATGAAATAAATTTAAGTATCTGCAGGTGTTCATTTAAAAACATCACAGACAGCAACAAAAATGGAAGAAGAGAGGAGGCAAAAAAAAAGGCCGCGAGAAAAAAAAACAAATACGCTGTACATATTAACAGCTACGTATGGCAACAACAAAAGAAATGAACAGAAAAAAACACGAAAAAAGAAACGACAGCAAAAATCTACAAAACAAAATGAAATTGCGTTGATTTTGTTGTGGTTGTTGTTGCAGTGGAAAAGAAAGCAAGGCGCAGCCAGAAGAAATGTAAATTTTTCTGTCACACACGCAAATGTAAAAATGAATTATAATTGAAAGAACAAACGAACGTCCTTTACTTGTCCCGCTAGGGGCAGCAACAACAAATGAGGTCATAACAACAACAACAACAATTAGTTGCTTAATTTGCTTGAATGCCTATTTTTTGTTTAACTTGAGTTTTTTTTTGGTGGCATTTCATTTGCATTGCAAAAAAAAACAGTGTTGCCGGAATTTGAAAATTGCTTGAAATATATTCAAAAATTGTTTAAATTTAAATGGCGTGTTTTATTTATAAAAACCAACAATCAAGTCTAAAAACTAATTCGAAAGGCTGTCATTATTTCAAGCCAAAAATATGTATTTTAAAGACTGCGAAATATTTCACGCTTGCAGCCAAAACAGCAACACTGAAAAAAAAGATCTCTACGAAAAAGTGGAGTAATTTTAACTTACCGTTGTTAAACTGCTGTGCAGCTGCAGCTGCTGTTGTTGTTGCTGTTGTTGCACAGGCGCCGCTGTTGACGCTAACGTCGCTGCTGCCGCCGTCGCTGGCAGAATTGTGTTTGGCGTCTGGCGATCGATGAGCGGGATGCGTGTGGCAGCAACGGGACTAGAGATTTTCTCGGCGGCCAAGCGCTGAGCGAGCACATCGCTGCCCGCCACCAACTGTTCGCTCCTCTCCTCCACCACCCCCCGCATCGCATCATCCTCCTCCTCCTCCACCACCTCTTCGTCATCGTCATCATCGTCTCCTTCCGAGTTGCCGGCAGCAACAGCTGCAGCAGCTGCGACGCCGCTGAGCGCAGCGGCTGCATCGAAATTATTAATCTCGGGATGAGTCTCCAATTCCGTTTGCAGATCGCAAATGTAATCGATCACATGCTGGATGATCTCCAATTTGGAGAGTTTGCGATTCTTGGGCATGAAGGGCACCAAATCCTTCAGCTTGGACAGATACATTTTCATCTCGGCATTCTCGCCGTCGCCGCGATGCGGCGCATGACGCGTGATGCGCCCGTTCGGATTGATGGCCGGCATTGAGGCGCCTGTTTGGCAAACGGCCGTCAATGATTTCATTTTCGAAATGATCGCTTTACGCTCCTTGAGTAGAATTTTGGCGGCTTTTTACACGGTCGTACCGGTTACTGTTTGCGAGGGTTTTCTTTTTTTCAATACGTATTTTTCTTTTTGTATTGATTATTAACTTTTTCTTTTGCTTTGTTTTGTTTTGTTTTTTTCTTTTTGGTTTCTGTTGTGGTTTTTAGCTGCGAGCTTCTGCGAGTTGGCAATTTTTTTGATTCTTTGTTTTTATTTGTTCACTTTACACGCTCACTTTAATTATTTTTTTTTCAAATTTATTATTGATCACAACACAATAAGCAAACACTTTAATCCAGCGTGTTGTTTTTTTTTCTTTTATTGCATTTTTTGTTGGCGTCGATTGTTGCTGAAAATCAATTTAAATTTTGCTGCTCAAATTTAGATTTGTTTTTGAATTTATTTTTTTGTTTTGTGTAGCGCGAACTAGCAACAACCATCAACGACCACGATATATTTGTATTTGAATGGGAGAGCGCTCGGAGTGGGCTATTTATACCCGCAGCTGAAGAGCCGAGCGACGGCAGCAAATGAAAAGACACGAATACTTCGTGCTTTCTGCCACACACACACGAGCACTCTCTCACTCTCCACGTGAGCGCGCTGCTCTCTTTCTCTCTGTTTCTCGACGGCCAGCGACCAGCCAACCAACCACCGCCAGTCAGAGCCATGGCCAAAAACTCGTTCCACGCGACACAAAAAGGGGAAATTGTTAAGTAATATATCAATATTTACTATATTTTAAATATATTTCATTTATTTATTATGAAAATGTTGTAAATACTAAAAATTAAAAGTTTGCTGTTTTTTTAGTTGCCAGCTCTGTAAGCATCCCTCTCAGAGAGAGAGAGAGAGAGCGAAACACACTAAAAACACGAACGGTTAAACAGCCGCACGAACGCAAACAAACTGGCTCCGCCTATCACAGAGCGGGAGACTAAGACTGAGAGAGATGGAAAGAGAGAGAGAGAGAGCGAGAGCAAGGGAAGCAAGCGCACTCGCAGCATTCTGAGTCTACTATTGTAGACTTAAGGGGCATTGATTTGTAGAGCTTAGCAGCAGGATCTCTAGTTTTGTCGAGTACTTGCTGCTGGTTGAAATCAAAGCAATTTGTGGTTTTCATTTCAAAAGGGGTAAATCAGTGTAGAGGTGAGAAATGTATTGCAGCAGGAATGGAACATTTGTGGAGACTGGTGAGTTTTGCCTGTGAATATGCAGCAGCAGAAAGGGGAAATACTGAGTTACTTTCTGGTGAGTAGTAAAGTTCTGCGCAGAGGATTTTATTTGAGGTGTAAAAGTGTCAGGGGCATGCTTTAAGTTCTACAATAATGAGAATAAATTCACTTGATAAAAATTAATTTTAACAAACTTTATTTATATATTTTTAAAAGAGCATAAATATTTTAAAACTTAATAATTTAAATTTTAAGCGCTGCTCAGCTCAGATTTACATAAGTATCAAAGTTGCTATCCACAAAAGGTCTTCATAACTCTCAACTCTCCGTTTTGTTTCTACAAGCTGCAACTCTCAGCTCGTTTGTAGAGTGGTACAAAGTCTCAGATCTCTTCCCCAGTTCCACACAAAACTCGGCTTTAAAGTTACGTTCCCAAATGTGTAGAGTCCACATGGCTTCCACAACGCACACTCCACAACTCTCAGCTGTGGAGAGTGTAGCCACATACGATTGAACAAACCGTAGAGTTTCCCCAGCTTCCACAACTGAGCTGCGATTGGTCGGCTGCTATAATGCGCTCTCTCTCTTGATCTATGCTCACTCTCCGCGCTCTCAATGCGTGATTTTGTGAATGAAAAAAGACTATGGGAAAATGAGAGACATTATTTTCTATCTTCTTTCTGCGTGGCTTATCTTAATTTGGCTTTATGATATCTACTCTCTTGACTCCCTCCTCTCACTCTCTCTCCCTCCCACACACTTGTAGGGTTTCTGGTGCTGGGCATCAAATCACGATCAAATTACACACGAGCAAACCACGAACCACAAGAAAGAAAAAAAACGACGACGCCAGTCGAGTGTTTTGATTTGGATTTGAGACTTGAGAAGTCATTGAGGAAATTGTAAAGGAAATTTTCATTGAAAGTGAGGCCTGAGGCTTGAGGCCTGAGGCCTGAAGGCGTTTGTTGTTTTGTGAAAAATGACACGTCTGGAAATTGTCTGCGAGCCCCCCTCGCTCTCTCTCCCGCTCTACCCCTTCTCCCTCCCACTCTCTTTCTGTGTCTGTCCGTTCGTCTGTCTGTCTGGATCGTATTCCAGCTCCATGTGCTAATTGAGGCACAGCAGCATTCATTCATTACGAAAGAGGGAGATAGATGGAAAGTGTTCTCTCCACAAACAATTTCATTGAGTCAAATTAGCGCCATTCATTTGCATTCCCATAGAGCTGACTGGAAGTGGGCTGGGGGAAAGTGGGAAGCTGAGCGTAACTGAAATCTGTATACTCTGGAATTTCGCGCCCGTTTCCAAGGAAACGCCGACGAAGGTGTTGCATAAAATACACAAGAAATCGTGTCAAAAAAACTAAACACTGCAAATAATTAACATTAAAAAAAAGTGGCCAGCAAAAAATATGAGCAAAAAATAAAAAACAAACCAAAAAAAAACAGTTCAAATTTCCAGCAAAAATACCGATCATAATTTTATGACTCTCCTCCGCCGGTGCGGAGCAGGCCGGCGAGGCGAGACTTGCAGGCCAGGACTTTACTTCACTTTACGACTCTCGAGTGTTTCGCATGAATGACAAATGAGCAGCAACGGCGACGACGCAGATGCAACAGGTTGAGCGTAGACCAAAGCGTGCTCCAGTTCAAGCTGATCGACTAACAGATACTCTCTACTCAACGTGCAGCACTGCAAAAAAAGTACAGTTCAATTTGAAATCAGCAATAAATTTAAGCTGCATTTATTATATATTTATTATTACATTTTTAATATTATTTTATTTACGCAGAGTTGCTAAAAACATAAGAAATATCTTTAAATATGTATTTTTATATTTATTATTTTAAGGAATTTGTGAATACATTTTTTGAAGTAGAATAATTTTATTCATTGCTTCAACTTATTCAAACCTTCATCAAGTAAACTATTCCCAAGAAAATATTGTTGTTTTGTTGCCATTAAATTCTTTCGCAATAATTACAGGGTATGTGTATAACAAAATAGGGATGCAAAGCAATCCGATGCGATGCGATGCGATCACATGTCAATCAGCGGGCACTTGTCTTCCAGCTTGGACCTGTAGCTGTAGCTGAGGCTGCAACGGCAGCTGGACTTGGGCGGGGGGAGATGGGAGATGGGAGAGCTGCAAGAGCTGCAAGATGGCGTTGCAGATATGCATGCCGCATGCCGCATGCCGTGTGCATGGATCACTTGGGTTGGGTTGCGTTGGGTTTGGCATGTCGAAATCCAATACGCGTCACTCATCCACTGTCCGCTGTTCACGTCTAGGCCATTAAGAGCCAAAAACCTGAAGGGTGACTGCCTGCCCCCTCCTTCCCTCCCACTCATCCCACTCCCTCCATCATTGCTGACGTTGCTTGCTGGGTGACATGTTGCATACGCGAATCTCATTAATGAATTCGGTGCGACAATTTTTCAACGCTATCCGTTTTGTTTGTTGATATTCGGTTTTTTTTTCGCTGTGTTTCTTGGCTTTTATTTTTAGCTACAACAACAGTGATTTTTGCATATGCTCCCCGCTCTGCCATCAACATTTTTTGCAATATATTTCAACGACTTTTAAACTAAATATATATTGGCTTCCAGTTCGCATCCGGCCTCCACAATTGTTATGGTAACTGAATACTAATTCATCCATCGGTCGAAGCGCTTCTCAATAAACTCGCCACTCGGCACTCGACACTCCGTTGAGCTTTTGTTTATTTTTGCAGTTGTTGTTGTTGGAAAAAAAAAGAAGAACAAAACAAAACAAGAATCAGCCGCATTGCGTGGGAATGGGAAACTGAAACAGAAATGGCGTTTTTTTCGTGTCGTTTACGCAAGTGCGTCAGAGCGAGAGAGAGTGCGCGTGAGAGTGCGCTCTGTGATCAGTCGAAAGCTCGACTTGCTAATCAGCGCATTTCGTATGCAAGGGAAAGGGACAGGTACAGAGACATATGTAATTGCAAAAGCTCACAAAAATAAACTCATTTGCAATTTCAATGCTAGTCAAGGACGCGCGACAAACTGTTATTTTCTTGTGCTCTCGCAATTGAGCTGCTTTTGTAATAAATACGATGACATCATCAAAAAACTGACTGCATAAACAGCAGCAATAAACAGTAAAAAAATTAAGAAATCTAGTAAAAAGCGTATGCAAATGAAAAGAAAAATGAACAATTTAAGATAATAATCTGATAAAGTACTCATATTAATTCAGACCTTATTTATCTGCCACAAGAAAAACAAAAACAAATTGAACATTGATATTAATAAGCTGTTCACTAAATAGCTGCTAATTTACCAAAATGTAAATGGCCATTAGTCAAGCACGTCGAACAACAATCAAAAATCCAGGACAATGCATAGCAACAACAACAACAACAACAACAAAACAACAACAGCTAAAAAATAAACATAATGAAAAAGAAATGCAGCCGCATTCATGGAACAAACGGTGAATGAAAGGAAGCCAAATAAAAGTCGACACATTTGAAAACGAAGCTACTCCAAAAGAAGCCACAGAAAGAGAAAGAGAGAGAGTGAAGGAGGGAGTAGAGAGTAGAGTGAGAGTGAGAGTGTATGACAAATGTCGCAGAAGGCAGAAGGCAAATGAACTGCTGTCAAAATAACCCCTGCCTATTATGGAAAAAAAAAACTGAGGACGGGCGACAAAAGGCGGACAAAGGACGCATTGCGCTATTTGTAAAGCTGCCAAACGATATCGATGAGAATGTGCAGCCGGCAAAAGAGTGCGAGAGAGAGATACATAGATAAGGAGAGACAGAGAGAGAGAGAGAGTGTGCGGCAAACCAGGTGAACAGATCAGATGCGATTAGGGATTATTATGCTATTACGCAGGATACGATTAACAATGCCAGCAGTGGCAGGCAACAGCCAACAAGGATAACAACTGCGCCGCACGCCGCGAC